CGATTACAAAGTCATCCGCACGAAAAATCACACCTATGACAGTTGTCGGATCTCGATGGTTCTTGAATCCACGGATACGTTGAGAGACTATCTGTTTGGACGGCAGTGGCGGCGGCGATGGCGGCGGACGGTACTCGACATGGATGGCGACCGCGATGGGTGAAAGTCAAACTAATTACAGCGAGTACACGCCGGTTGTGTTGCAAGATCTCAACGCTCACTGAAAACGACGCGATTCACGCCGGGCGAGTGAATACCGGGCCGTTAAACCGGAACACAAAAACCGGAGCGCCTCTTAGATATCTTCCTTTGTCTATCTCACCGCGATCTTGCGAATAAAATTAATTTCCTTTTTACGCCGACTGCCGTTGTTGCGCACGTAATTTGCGTATTCCTATATACATATTATACGAATACTATCGCTACTTGAGACACACGAAGTAGATTATTTAAGTTATAGAATTGAGACATTAGTGCGAGCCAAGCTGGCGCACTTGTTCATCTGCTCGACAATCTGAGTGTATCACGAGTATCACGAATTATCTGATCTGTAAAACGGATCACCTGTTCAGCAATGCTTCATCGTGCCCGATTTAACGGACGCATTTCATCGCATAAATTTCACCATGCGAGCGTAACATCGTTAAAACTTGCGAAAGCATCAGAAAAACGACGTGCCAAGATTAAGTCGCTAAGTGGCTTAAATGTGAAAGAAGCTCAACGATATATTGTTCCACTTAAAATATATGTATTTATTTAATTTCAAAGGATTGAGCAAAAATTATCGAAACATTCTAAATATTTACATTTCTTTTTATATTTATGTTGTGTATATTATATTTGTGAATACTTAAAATGTTTTTAAATGTTTTATGTAATTCTAATATAAAATAAAAAAATGCTAGAAGAAATTTTGAAAAAACTTTGGGGAAAATAAATGGTACAACAATTAAAGAATATAAAAGCAATGAGAGCGTCAAAATACAGCGCGGAAATTGGTGCGCAATTATAACAAGAATTTCAATTAATTCACATAATATATTATACTATCATGTCGATACAAAAATTTCCTTGTACGTTTCGATTTGCTTCAAATCATCTTCAGCAAGTTGTGAACAATTACGTACATATTATGTAATAAATGCATTGATCTGTGCGGGCGTGGCTCTCAGAATATGAATTTTCATGGTTTAAGTGTCTGGCTTTTTCATCTGGATATCACATTTCATAATTTAATAAATCTTTTATTTTATTTTTTATAACAATAACTTTAAAAAATTTTTTGTTAAATTGACGTGTTACGCTTGGAATTCTTTTATTAAATTGACGTAATTACGCTTGGAATAAGTGATTGTGATCTATGGAGACGGAGACTAGTCATTTGGCTTAAAAGCAAAGAGACAATTTTGGCAATTCTCAATCTGACAGTAGGGATATGCTGATCTTTCTCACGTAGATTATCTGTCCAACATTACGAACTATTTGTCAAAACACCGATAAGAATTACTTAACAAACATTGTGAGCTATATTTAGTGTAATACATCGACGAAATTGTTCACAACTTACTGAAGATGGTTTGAAGCAAATCGAAACGTATATAAGGAAATTTTTGTATCGACATGGTATAAGTACAATATATTATGTGAATTAATTGAAAATCTTATTATAATTGCGCATCAATTTTCTTTGTATTTTGACGTTCTCATTGCCTTTATATTCTTTCATTGTTGTATTTTTATTTTGAGATCCCTATATATATATTCTTTCAAAATTTTGAAAATAAGATATGTTTACAGAATATTTCAGATCAACATCTCACTGAATTTTTATAAAATTTTGCAACCAGAATAATTTCTTTTACAATCGAACTGATTGTGTGTATTGATAGTTTTGTATATAAAACTTCATCAACAATTGCTCACAAAGTATTTTATGTAATTTTATATAAAAAATACAAATAGTATTTTATAAAATGAAAGTTCGGTTTTATTCGATTAACAATAAGTGCTTATTTAATTAATCGAATTCTTTGTTCCGCGAAATGAAAGTACAAAGAAATCATCTACATTTGCAAATATGGCATATAATTATCAGTCAAGCATTAAATTAATTTCTAATAACATTATATCCTATACTTATCGTACTGTTAATAAATTACAACCTTTGAATATTCAGAATAAATTTCCATTTTATTATGTTGTTTTATAGTAGATGTTATTTATTTTACACATTTTTTTCTCATCTCGAGTCATATTGTGAAAGTCGATAGTCTTATAAATTGATGAATCGCCATTACCAACTTTATCATTACTAAGATTGCACATTTCTGGCAAGCGATGATTTGCTACAGTTTATACATAATTATTGGGCGACATAGCAATTATAGATATTTTATAATTATAAAAAGACTTAGGATTGTATATGCTGGATAATAGAACTTTAAATTTGCTGCGTTGTATAAATTTCCGGTATGACTGATAATCGAAAGTACTATGAAATATTTGTAGTAATTAGCGAGTATGTGCGTTATTTTATGCATTTCTGACGTGTTGTTACTTTTTGCACTTTGACGATAATTAACAGGTGATTTAAGACACACAGTTAGAGACATTCTGGGATTATAAAAGGATTTGTCATATACGTATATACTATACATCATGTTTGAAGCATTGTAAGACTCGGTTTTACAACTCACGGTTAATTCAGCCTGGTTCAACTTATTTCTCATCTCTTTCTAATTCTAGTATTAGAAAGAGATGAGAATAAGTTAAACCTCGATTAAGAGTTAATCATGAGTTGTAAAACTGACCCTAAATAGTGGCCATAGTAATCGAAAGTATTGTATGAAGTTTATAGGGTACAAAATGTGAAATATAATTTTTTATGTGGAACTTCTTTGATTGCTATTGTTTTTTATTCAATAATAATTCAATTCGATAATAATTATTACATTCACGACGTAACATTTAAAGAAATTGTGGAATGATTAAATGGTTTTGGACCGACCGGTCCCTTTTAGCAATCGGATGAGAGATCTCACTGGGTCCTCTCTGTAAACCAGAATTATGGATTGAAATGGATTCAAATTTTCAGAAATACGCAAACGTTAAAATAAATTTTTTTTAATTCGAACGTATTTTTATTCATTTTCACAGGAATTGTATGAAATACATTTCTATGCCTTTTAATTTAAAAATAATATCAACTTTTTTTATGCATCGTAAAAACTGCTTAATTCAAAATTCTGAATAGAAATGCAGTTTTTCAATCCAATTTAATCCAGTTAAATTTATTTGAATAGAAATCCAATTGAATAAAAGAAAGTTTTTTTTTTAATTCAGTTGCGGATTCAATTGTATTCTTAAAAGACACATAAAAATTTTAATCCATTTATATCCATTCTTGATTACTGACGTAATTCCATAGTTTCTGTTTAAATTGATACCGCCAACTTCGCCTGCGTTTATCTTCTGATCTGTGTAAGAGATCGAAATTCTTGTGAAATGATATTTTTACTTTGGCGCGATATTCTGTCTCTCCATGGTGAAAAATCTTTTTCTCACCTTTCGGTTTGTTGTCGCTCTCTTCTGCCGGTAATCAAGATTAAACTTCCAGTTGAGACTTGTTATTGCCAGTTTGCCCATTGGATTGTGTATGATATACTATCACTGGATAGCCTAATAAAGAAAAGACAAAACGGAATTCTTCACGTTTGGTTCCCAATTTTTCCTTCGGCCTCCATTTGTTTTCCATCTCCTCTGCGTAAGAAATAGAGATTCTTGTAAAATGATTTTGTCAATAAGTGAAAACCAATCGATAAAATATTAAACATAAATGAATGGAAAACACCATATTAATTCAAAGCAAATCTTCATGCTTAATAATATTTGTAAAGTTATACAATTTTCAATTTAAGCAAACTGTGCGCCAACAATCTTAAACACAATGTTAAACTGAAAATAACATAAACTAAATTGATAAGTAATTAAGTATTAGCGTTTCAAGACAAATAATTGGCACACAGTTTGCTTGAACTGGAAATTGTATAAATTTACAAAAAATATTAATAGGCACAAAGATTCACTTGATCGAATATGACATTCTCCACTTATTTGTATTGAATATTTCTTTATTTTAACGTGATATCATACACAAAAACGTTCTACACACAGAAAAATACGCAAGTAATAATTACTTATTTCAAGTATTTCAAAAGTTTATATATCTGTAAATCATAAGTTCATCACAAACATTACATTTATTCAAAATATATTCCGTGTGTGTGAATCCTAGTAAGTTTAATAGGTTAATCAAGTTTATTAAATTAAAATTAATTTAATTTGCTTATATTATGAAAAGTTTGTTTTTTCAATCAATTTTATAATATTTTCCAAAAGAAAAGAAATTCTTGTTTTAAGTACATAAGTATTTCTAAAATTTTATAAAAAATAAGCATATTTCAAGATTATTATGAAAAAATATTCTTTATTAAAGATAACAGTTATTTAAAAGAAAGAAAATAAATTGAGTAATCACTTTTCTTAGCAACAGAATGATATTTTTCTGCGTGTATGATAAAGATCTCTCACCTGTCACATGACCGTCTTGTCCGAGGAGCGGTAGTTCTAAGGCCTTATTAAATGTTTCTTTGGAGCTATCATTATCATCTAGAGTGATCTTCTTAAGTGAGTCTTCTTGCTTTGCCCCTTCGGGGAGTTTCAAAAGCAGTTCTTTCTCCAACACATCGCTTGATTTGTTAATATTACCTGTATAACAATTTGAAATTCTTATAAAATAATCCCTTTTTTATGAAATTCTTTTAATTTATTGAATTTTTGATCAATGATACCAGTATCAGCGCTCGTCGTAGTTTCGTTTGATTCTGTTTCTAACTTAGTCGGTGTCAATCCATCTTCATGTATGACGTAGCTTTGTACGACGATACAGTACAAAGCTAGTAATTGCAAGCTCTAAGAAAATATAATAACACAGTTTTTTATCAGTTTTTTGTAAGATCGCTTTTACTGCCGGTTTAATACCACAAACATTTTAAGTTTACCCGTTTGCGACTTGTAATATTTTCGAATATTCGCAAATTACTTATTATGATATCCAGAGATAAAAAGAGTTAATCGTCTGCGTGCAAAAATAATGCTGCCCAAAAAGACAATTATATGATTTTGAAAAATTAATTTTTTTTTAAATTTTTTTTTGTTTACGACGAACTTTGATTGTAGAGTTGACTAAGTTTCACCTTATATAACAAAGATATCTGTTCAATTATTTTATCATTACCGGCAAAATCGTATAAATAAATCTTCTCCCGAAATTGAAAGCAACGCAAAAGGTCGCTGCTTGTTTCTAATTTTTTTTTTTATTAAACGGAGATACATCTTATGGTTTGTCTTGACTTTCATAAGCGCGGAATTAAAATTTTTTTCAGTTTGGATTAATAGAAGAAAAGCGATTCTATTCACGATGTAGACAGATAGATGCGTTTATTTTGATTACAATTGCGCGATTACGTTACGCGAGTACGCGAGCGAATTTGCAAGGAATAGCAAACGGCAGCTATAACCACTTCCGTGTCTAGATCTCGCTCTATTCCGCTCGTAAGCGTCGTAAGTCCTCGGAACTATAACAAAGTATGTACGATTACACGCAAGCACTACCAGGAGCAATTATGACTCGTTAGGTCCTCTGGTCTGGCGGAATTTAATTACGTGATTAGCGTAGAAGTGCGTGCTCGAGGAGAAAATAACGCTGACGATGTTCACACCGTTACATCTACATGTTCTACGTTTCTATCACGATTCTACGGTTTCTATTATGGTGCGTTTGATCGGAATTGACTTTCATGATTTGCCAACCGCAGTTTATTGAGACTTATTTACAAGTAAAAGAATATCTGATGATGGAAATATATATAGTTGTTTAAAATTATAATATATTTCCTGGAATTTTTTAAAAGAAAATGATGCAGATGATTACGCACCTTTATCTGTCCCGCAAACATTTTGAAACTCTTCCTGATGTATTATATTGGAATTCGAGACCAACCGCCAATTGATTTATAACTTTGTTCTGCTCTTTTTAGGCTGATATTATATTTGGATATATTCTAGTACAGATTAATAAAAGAAATTTAAAATGTCTATTATTATAAGTGCATATTGCTAAAAGTAAGAAATATATGAACAAATTTAAATAAATTTTTGTAATTATTTCAAAGCTATTTTATACCCAGATTTTGATATACTTTGTAATAGAAAAATGTCAATTACCAACAAAACAAACGCGTTATGGTGACAATTTTTTTACAACTTCGATACTTATCTAAGAACAGTTAAAGATGTGGAAAGAAAACCTTTAACGATTAAGTTAAATGTAATCATTTAAATTTATTTGAATGACTACGTAGGTAGTATATAAATTCACATAGAATTAAGCGATTCAGCTTGACCGTTAAAGACTTTCTTTTCTTCTTTATTGTTGTATGTTTACATGTAAGATCCTAGAAACTCTTTGTTTAATAAAAAAATTTTTTTAAGAGATTTTTATTAATTATAATAGATTTTCAAATAAGATTTTTGCCTTACCAGCAAAAGCCCACGTTACTACTTTCTTCTTTATTATAAATAGGAGCCTTTGTTCTCATACCTAGGCACTACTAAAACTGCATGCCCACGTCTACTGGTTCTAATATATACCATCTTACATATATCTAATCAACCTATATTTTTAAGCTAGCCTGATAAAACACTCATCCTCAAATGTTACTGATAATTTTCCTTTTGTTTCTATCCTAAATTCTTTATAACTTCTCCAGCAAGATATTGACATTCCTTTTCGAATGTACGTCAATAATGCACTTTGTGCATTCACTAAAAACATCATTCTTCAGAGATTCTTCCCATCACTCAAAGATAAGCAAATCCTCTAACTCCATTTTTTAAATTGTAATTACAAAATTAACGCATCAGAATCTAAACTCGAGATCCTTTACTTTTACATCTAGATATTATTAAGACTACATGCCCACGACTCTTGTAATTATTCCAATGGTCTACAAACACTTAATCGGCTTCATAAGCTTATATTTCTACATATTGTACATATATATATTTGAAAATGTTATGTAATGTTCCACTCAATCTTTCTGGAAAATTTGATATCGTTTTTTACATAATTGAATTTGTCTTTAAATAACTTAATTTTTCATAAAGTATTTTTTGTACTTTTGTCAGTAAACGCACCATGTTGAGCTATCACGAAATGCCTTCACGAAATGTTCGTGGATTTACGAGTTTTTACTTTCACTCGGAATGCACGATTACGAGCAATAACGAATAATGCATATGCATGAAGCGTAAGATGTGTTATTTATTGTATCAAGATAAGAGTGTACGCACATTGTATTAAAATATAACTATTTAAGTGCAATTTGCGCGAAAAAATAAATTTACATTACCTATATTAAAGACGAGGTAACAAAAGCAGAGTGTAAGAAACCAATAGATATTAGCAATCCATAAATTAACTACAACGGTAATTCATAACGTTATAAAATCAATTTAAATTTAACACAATTAATTCTTAAATTCTCGAAGGTAGAAGAATAAATGAAACTGCCGTAATAATCATATTAAGAAAAACAGCATGTCAATCAAAATAAATAATTTGCTATAAATAAAAATACTGAAGCCAATAAAAATATATGGCTAAAGTAAAGAGCAGATGAGGTAATATATAATATTATTTTATTAACGTAGATAGAATTAATAATTTTTTTATATAATGCATGTAGCACATTTATCATATATATGATGTGTTTCACTTTATCGTATTATTGCGCACATTATAAGGAATCGATTTTCTGTTTTAAAACAAGGAAAAATTACAAAAAATGAACGCGAATTTATTAGAATACTTATAATTTCATTGGTCAATATATCTATTTACTCACTTTTATAATTTTTATTTGATTTTAAGGTACAAAATCTTGAAAGATTATGGCCGATAATGACATCGCAGGCAATAATCTGAAAAATGTTAAAATGCTGCTCTAAAGTTGGACCAAAGGAAGACATTTTTAAGCGATAAACGCAAGGCTGCATTACAGAGCTAGTTAATACTTTAATATGTAAATGCAGCTATATATCATAGATATATGAATTTGTATGTAATCGTATCACATCGATTTAATATGTATAAACTGATGATCAGTAGCGACAATTGCATTCATCTTTGAAAGATGACCTGAAAAATTCATTTTTTGCGTTTTTATATATCCTGATTATTCTGTACAAAAGAATTCGCTTCACAGAACTCTCTGTGGAAATAGTTATGCAATAATGAGCATAATGTCTAAAATTGACGCACATAACAAGATAACATTAGATATCTTTAAGAGGATCCTAAAGCCGTTTGTATTACTAATCATAAATTTTATTTAACAATTACTTTTTTCCTCTTTTACAGATTCGAGAGTCCTTTTCCAGGATTAAAGTATATATGTATTAATACGTATAAATACGTATATGTATAAATACGTATATATATAAATACGTGTCTATGAGGTGAAGTTTATGCCGAAAACGACAAAAAATTTTTCTTAAGATTTCAATTTTTAAATTTTTTGTCGTTTTTACGACAGATAGAGAATAAATTTCATCTCACAGACACGTATTAAAGTATACACGTATGTATGCTTTAATCGTGAAAAAATATTTTTGAATCTGTAAAAGAACAAAAGATTGATATACAAAAAAGACAACTTTAATTTTAAAAAATCTTTTTTGTTAGGTCTTCAATCATAATTTCGCAAATTCAGGATTGTTTGTGCATGTCATACGCTTCTGGAGAAGGTATTATTTGATACGTAAGATCTATAGAATTTCTGTACTAAGGAAATTATAACCTGAGGTAATCAGCTGTGAGATATAAAATAAAGTGAATTTTTTATTTTTTCTTCAATTTTCTCGTCAAATTTAGTGTGGCCGGTATATTTTTTGTGTACGGTATACTTTTACTGTGTAAAAGGATTTAATGATCTATAAAGTCAATTCGAAGAAATTGGCGATCTGCAATTGTCGGTAATTCCTGTTGGTTTATGATCCGCTTAAGAGTTCTTTAAGAAACATCTTTAAGGTATTTCATAAAGAAGTTTGAAAGTTATCTTAATAAAGTTATCTTATACATCGATTTTAGATATTCTGTTTATTGGGAAGTTGATAATTCGATATCGAACAAAGTTTGAATGTTACACAAATTCATAATTGTATATATGTGTATATATATAATAAATACAAAACCATAATATTATCGAGCTGATACACTTAGAAAAATGTCCAGTACTTTTAATGGAAAATAATCGTTCTAGTACTTTCTCCGACCAATTTCGATCAGATTCAGGATTATCCGATAAAGTGACAAACACCTTTATCCGATGAAATGTAATCTCCAATTATATTAAAGAATTTTATCACTTCGACTTCTTGTATTTCATGTGAGGCCAAATTCGTTGTTCTCTTTTTTTCTTTTTTTCTTTTTAATAAGTTTTGAATATATCCTCTATTAAAACAGGAATAAAAAATAAACTCTTTAATAAACTCTATTAAAACAGGAATCAGACGTAGATGGGAAGATAATATTAGAATGGACCTTAACGAAATGGGGTACGAGGGTCACAAATGGAGGGATCTTGCTCAGGGACGGGAACAGTGGCGGGATTTGGTATTTGCGGCAATGAGCTTTCGAGTTCCTAACGCCTAATAATAATAATAATAATAAAACAGGAATCATATCTGTGGAATGATATTATTATTAATCATAATATGAAATGTATATATATATATTAATAAAATATTATGTTATAATAACGTTGATTATCGAAATATATTTGTGCGAGCATTATTGCGGTAAACATGTATATCTAAGGAGTATTAATAAAGGCATAATATTCCTTGTAGACAGATAGAACGAATTAAATTAAATGGAAATTAATTATTATATTAATAAAAATAAAGCTACGATCCAAGCAAGATCTTTTGATATTATTAAATAACAAATAGAAAGGTAGAACATATCGAATCGGATCATTCTCAATGTTAACAAAATACAAATTTAAAAATTCAAATAGTATTAGCTAATATCATTGCTCTAATTACAACATTAAGAACAAATAAATTCCAAATAAATACATTATTAAATTGCTATTGTAGTCGTCAACGGATGTCTTAAGCTGATTCTGCAATGAGTGGGTAGTCGGTACTTTTAAGTCTTATTGGTGAATCAGTAAAGTTGACCAACAGCCAACTAATACGACTAAGATTACCGATTTTCTTAAGATTGATCAAATTCGACTTTATTTCTTCCCATTAGTCGAGTTAAACGCTGTACAACTAACAACTAATAGATGCGAAAAATCAAAGTCACTTATTTAGGTTAAAACTGATTAAGACTTAAGATTTCCGACTACCGACTCATTGTAGAATCAATAGAGTAGAGTCAAATGGAAGTAACTAAAAACATAACTCAGAGTTTTTTGTAACCAAAATAACATCCACAATTAAAAAGACTATAAATTTCAGTCTAGAAATATATAATAGGATAAAATCTAGTAAAAATTATTGTAAAAATATGTATTACAAATTATGTATTATTAGTACATTGTCAAAAATAAAAAAGTTATATTAAAATTAAAATTTTTTAAATTTGCATATTTTAAAGAAACGGTTGTACAAATAAAATGAGCGTATTGGCAAATAATGTAAAAAAATATTTTTTCTTATACATATGTTGTATGAGATATCGCAGATGGTGGATATGTGGATTCGTGGATACCACGATGGATGATTCCTAGGATCAATTTTTGAAACCTTAGAGACTACGCAGAAATATTCTGTAATGTCTCTCTCTCTCTCTCTCTCTCTCTCTCTCTCTCTCTCTTTCTCTCACAATATTTTTTCTAAGAATTTGACATTCTTTTTATACATAAATAAATTTGTCTTTATAAAATTTAATTTTTCACAAAATGCTTTTGTCAATACAGTAACAGTAATTTTTTACTTAAATATATATACGGCAATCTACAAACTAGATTATATAGAAAGCATAAAATTCATAACTTAATAATCATAACTTGATAAAAATAAGTCTTACAATCATGAATTAACCCTTTCAATACCAACACCAACTTAGTTTGCATCCATATAACAAGCGATGGATACCATAGCGCCGACTATAGTCGGCGTCCACAATCGGCATAATAAACTGTGGATACTAGCGATCTTATTTTATAAGATTAATATATCAATTCCAAAAACGATTATAAACTGTAGGTAAACGCGTGACACGTATTAACACTGGACGTATAAACATATGTCACTCTATCTTTAAAGTAGGCACATGTGACGGAGTCCTCGGTACAGTGAAAGCGTCTTCGTGGACGCATATCCTGTAAGGAAAGAATTAAAATTTACTTGAAAGCTTTTTACGGAAAAAATGTAGAACGCTATTTTTGACCTATTTTACAATTAATTAAAATCCTGACAGGCTATCCAAGAGTTTTAAAAACGACATTGTGTTCAGCGCGAAAAATCTTCGAAATCTACCATGGTACTTCGAAAAAAAGTTGATATAAAACTATGTAACTTTTTAATGATTTTTATTTAATTTTAATTAATTATAATTTCGATTATTTTAATTATTTTTTATTAATCTTAATTATTAAAAAATATATATATCTGTTGCAAATGACGCATTTACATTACTTGCAAACTCTTATATATTACCTTATATCAATTTGCATAAACTGCTTCAGCAACATTAAACTATTTATTGCATTCGTTTAACATGTATCTTCAATGTTTTCATCTATCTGTAACTTGTAATCTCTAAAAGCATCTTCTATCTGTGTTTTCGTCTTCCCCAGTGTCTCCGGTAAAGCAATCATTAGAAAAATAGTAGCAATGATAGACATTATGCAGTAAAAATAAATGGTAGCATTTCTATTATGCGTTACCATTACTGGATACAATTGTATGACGATGTAGCTGCCCACAAGAGAGATGAAAGTAGTAAGTTGCCCGAGAACGTTCACATATCTGGTAGGATACTGTTCCGGAATCATGGACCAAGGAATCGAAAAAAATCCAAATGATCCAAAACCCTGCGATTTAGAGATTAATCCTAAACTTTATAATTACCTAATATTAACAAATCATTTTTAAGAAACTTTTTTAAAAAGGTAATACCTAAAGTTCAATCTATATTAAATTTCTGCCGAGATTATCATAATAATTACTTTCTTAAAAAAAATTATAACGAGATATTTATGAAAACATTATTTTCTTACCACATAGAAAAGGATACAAGCAATAGGAATAGTTGTAATACTAATGTTCTCAAAAAATTGCAGATACACTGCTAAAATGCTCAAAGAAATTGATATACCAACACCAGACACAATCGAAATAGTTCGACGACCAATTCTAGTAAAATTTCGAAATTTATTATATAAGTCTCTGAAATATTATCAGTTTGAAAGATATATCATAACATATATTTAATGAGTATTTTAATAGAGCGATCTACAAATTAATTATAAAAGTATTAATTATAAAAGTAATTAAAAAAATTTCACAACAGCTGTTGAGTTTAAAACATTTGAAATTACAGGTATAATATTAAATTTTCGCTAATTAGTATTCATAATTACATAATTAATAACTACCGCTCTTGTCATCGATTATTAATTTTACTTCAACTATTGGTGTTTGATTTTTTATATGGGTGTACGTAGATTTATAATAAATTCATATTGAATGTAGTGATAGACTGTACAATAAACAAAAATAATTACCTTTTGCTACAACACGCAGTGATTACAATGCCTACTAATTGAATTACTCCTACTATTACGGCGATCAAAAATGGATCTATTGTTATGTTGAGTCTGGTGATAAGATCAACGGTATAAAATATAATCACATACAGTCCACAAAGCTTCTGAAAAAGTAAATAGAGATTTAGTATCACAAAAGGTTTCCACACTTCTGGTAGAAGGATTGTTCTCCAAATTCTCTTTAGTATGCTCCACACATTCCAAGTAAGAAACTTCTGTCCGGTTTCTTTAGTCGAGGAGAAATCTGTTCGGCAATTTTGAGATATTTCAAATTTATTTTTCTCGACATAGTTTGTCATTTTGGTAAACTCTTCTTGGAACTCTGTAGTTTCCTGACGCAGACCACGGATACAAAGTAGAGCAATTCTAGCGTCTTCCTTTCGGCCTTTCAAGAGCAACCACTCAGGACTTTCGCGGATGAAGAAAATATTGCATAGGACAAACAATATGGAGGGTATGGAAAAAAATGCTGCTATTAACCTCCAATCGTTCTGAAATAATATAAATGTATTTTAATAAAATATAAATGTAAATAAAACAAAATATGAATATTAATTTATATTTATATTTTATTATATACCTATATGTTAATTATATATGTGCATATTTATTACGTTAACAATATTGACGTCCAAAGATAAAGTAATTTGTCTATTTTTAGTAAAATTTAAAAATTGATATTAATGCATTCAAATAAAATTCAAAAAACAAATTGTTTATTGTCAGAATGGTAGCAAATTAGTAGTAAATTTGATTTAAAAAATTGAACAGATTTGATTTCGTCCGCATTAGCTTGCTCTAGCGAGAGCCTGTTGATATAACTGATGGCAGATTGGCAGCAAATATCGAACAAAACTTATCAAATGCAGATTCTGCTCGATTTCTACTATTAATCTGCGTTAAACTATGTGCAAGTCTGCTTGATTTCTATCATCAATCTGTTTTGAAGTCATGTAAAGAGTTTTTCTCTCACACTTTGTATGGCATTCACTAGTATTTCATATAATGGATTCTGTGTGCATCAAAGTAATCTTTCTGCTGACAAAATTTATCAGCAGATACTTTGCAAAATTTCAAACAAACTTGTTTGATTGGAATTCTGTATTAGATAACGCGTGATGATTAACTCAAATTTTATCTGATTATTAATAATATTTTTATTCTCTTATTAATAAAAAATTTAATGCTCTTACCTGTAGAACAAATCCTAGAAGATAAACGATCAGAATTCCGGTGGTAAGAGCTATATTCGGAGTAACCGTAATGACTGTTTTCCATGAAGTAATAGAGATTTCTGCTAAATATATTCCAACAGAAGCTGCACACATACCTATTGCAATTCCTGAAAATTTACAAAGCATTTCTACGGATTGTTTTTGTTTGCTTTTTCATTAAAGAAATAACTAGTTTTAAGAAGATTTTGTTTTCCTTTTTTCGATTCGACAAATTTCTCACCTGTTAGCATCCTACCGATGAAGAGTTGTATCACATTATAACTACTCGCAATGAGGATCCATCCCAAAGAAAAATTTACACCACATACTATCATGTTACATCGTCTTCCATAGTTCATTATGATAAGACATAACAGGCAACCAATAATTTGGGAGATAGATATCGTGGAAGCTAGATAAAAGTTTTTCGAATAAATTTTTGTAACATAATTAGGTGTATATAAAATTATTCAAATTATTGTTGTTATCAACAGATATGTTAAAACAAAAAATAAAAATTGAAATCGTATTATTTATTACAAAATATGTTAATAAGCACATTTTGTAATGGCAAATAATATTAATCTTTTTTTATTGAAAACAGTTACCGAAAAAAGATATCTCCACTGCGTTTAAAGTTATTGATGACCTATTACTTGCCAGTATTGGAAGTACTATGGAGGAATATCCTAAAGTGGCTCCTGCATTTATTAAAGCCAAGTTGCAGATAATAGTGTAAAGAAACTGCAATAGATTATACAAACTGACCATATAAAAAAATTAAATATTACATATAATGTTTTGTATTATCATATTTTTCATTTTTATTATGTAAAAACTAAATATACGCTATTTCTTGTTTGAGATTTTAGAAGTCTGTAGAACTCCACAACGTTTTAAAAATTCATTTCATAAAATTTCTGCAGTACTAAACCACATTAGTTAAAGATAATTATCTTTTTTCTTTATGCTTTTAAACATATATATATATAAATTAGCTTGATCATATACCAAAAAGAAGAGTTCTCTTTGTATATTCAATCGTAGATACATTCTTGTATTTGCCATATTATTACTTCCTTGCGAAAATATATCACAAAATAATTCTGGATTATCTATTTTCAATCACAAAGGCATTATGTGATTCCTTAGATAATACGTGAATGGCAGTATACACTCTGGATAAAAATTAATTGTGTACAAGTTGCGTTTAAAGTAAACACGAAACTATATTATTAATATGTTTAAACGCAAAGTTTCCAGAAATATTAGCAATTATTCACTTTATACACTTAAAGCAATCATTCACTCTATACTATCTATCTTAAAGTATACTTCAAATAATAATACAATCAATAAACAATACAATCCGTCTTGTTAAAGTAAATTTGAGCTAAACATTTAATTAGACATAAAAAATATAATTTTATTGAATTTTTCACGCGAGACTTCTTGCAACGTCGAAACTAGTTCTTGAACTAACACATTTTAATATATGACTTATGTATACGTGGTTACTTAACATATCTCATTACGAAGTAATAAAGTATAAAGATATTTTTGTTATTCACGTACGTGTATTGCTACATATGTTATAAAAAATCAAGATCATTAACTCGTTCAAGGTTAGCAAATAATATTAGAAACATAATTGCGCGATAACTCGTGAAGATTATCGTGCTTCAAGATACTTTGTTAATTATTTTGCTAGTTATATTTAACCTTCTTTTTAAAAAAAATCGCATTACCTCAAGTAGAAAAAAACAAATTACATATATATATATATATATATAAGTATAATTTTTACTATAAGCTATAAAGCTTATAAGTAAAACAAGTTGAAACAAAGTCGTTGATGAAATTAACTAAAGTTTAGTCGAAGTAATTCCAATCCTTGAATTCGTGTTCAAACTGAAATTCGATATATCGATTGTTCCACGAGTGCGCGTCGTCGCGGAAAGGAATCCATCTTTGTTCGCACTTCACGTGAAAGAGAAAACGGTTCAAAATGGCGACGTACTTAGCAGGTTTCTGTTGTGCAAAATAGGTTATCGGGTGGTTCCTATATGCAACCGATAATTCAGGATTTAACGTGAAGCTAATAGTGCCGGAAAGTATTATGATTAGTTCCAGATAAGATTCGTGTACACGGCGCGTTTTAATCTCCCGTATTATCGCGCGCACTCGGAAGATAATGGCCGATAATGCCATTGCAGGCGACGACGAGCTCCTGAAAAATATTAAAACGCTTTTGTGGGGTTCAACCGTCAAAGAGGATGTTTTCAAGCGATGGGCGCAAGGTATTGAGGCTTTCTCCTTCAATAGGACAGTTATTCTCATGTAGACACAAGAATTTTATATGTTATCACGATCCAATGGCTAATCGTTAGAGTTAATAGTAACAACTTTCATGAAAAACAACCTATGAAAATTTATTCATTTTTCCTTGCCCAATTATTCTCTATAAAAGTATTTGCTTAACAGCAGTGTACAATTGATTAAGTTGATAACTTAATGTTGAATAGTGCTCATGTACCTCTTATATAATATATATAAAATGTAACATTACAAAGTTTCTAGAAATATTATAAATTATTGTATGTTCTAATTATGGTTACATTAATTAATTTTTTTGTAGGCTTCTACTTCAGTATAGATGAACCTACTGCGCTTGTACAGACGGAAGGAGGACCCTGCGCTGTGATAGCTGCTGTTCAAGCATTTATTTTGAAGCAGTTACTGTTGGAGAGCGATGTTATAACTTGGAAGGATATCAAAGCCGAAAAATGTGATCAATTACTTGTGAAAGCCTTGATTGAAATTATAAATCAGGCTGCTGATATTCAGGATCCTAAGTATTCAGTAGTACACGCTAATGATTCTAATGACTTCGTATCTAGCAAAGAAGGCACTGATACTAAATCAGCCGAGCCAATGGCAAATTCAGCCCAAGATATTAGCGAAGGTAATCAAATTAACGAAACATTGGCTACCAAACAAGTGTCATTAGAATCGGAAGCTTTTCATTCTCAATTAAGGTAAGCTTATACTAGAAAGTAATGTTCTAATAAATTTTAATTTTTTAATATTTTGCTATTAATTGATATTTTATTGATTATTATAGGATATTTACTACAAATAGCATCGATGATGTAGAAGATTTCTTTACGGAACGAATTGGAATGTTAAAAGATCAGTATGGTATATTACTTCTACTTTATACAGTGATGTGTACAAAAGGAGTTCCAGAAATATGTTCCGAGATGTCAGACCCCACAGAACCCATGATCGATTCTACCTATGGATATGGAAGCCAAAGTTTAATAAATTTAATGCTTACTGGCCGGGCAGTTAGTCATGTCTGGGATCACGATCAAGATATTAGTGGATTAAGTGAGTTGATTTTTATTTCTCTTTAAACTTGATTATATTGTCATCTCAATTCTATGTATATTTTAATTTGTACGTAGATAGATTATTCTTTCTACATAAGTACTCTATATTATTCTCTTATATATTTTGCAGAATTACGTGGTATTGATAAACAGAATACAGTAGGATTTCTCACTCTGCTAGAGCATTTACGGTATTGCGAAGTGGGTACATTTTTAAAATCACCGTCGCATCCGATTTGGGTGCTAGGATCGGATACACATCTAACTGTACTCTTCTCTACGGAGAAACGATTAGTGAGTCCAGAGACACCATCGGAACAAGCGCGAAGAATTTTCAAACGCTTTGACCCAGAAGGGAATAACTTTATCGCGGCAAATTTACTACAAGATGTATTGGCGGAACTAGGACTAGTAGCCGTTGCTGAATAGTATGTATTCGCGCTTTTGTAGTTTATATATTATTTACATTTTGCGTTAGGCACGTGTGAAATTATTTATATTACATTTGAGTTTAGTTTTAACTATCGATTGTCTTAGCAAATTTTATATCGAAATGTTCTTGCAGTGTCGATATCATGAGGAAGAGACTGGACAGTGAAAATTTAGGAATAATACTTCTCGCATCATTTATGGATGAATTCTTTCCTGAGGAACCATGTATGTGCCCAGATATGTTCGTCTTATATCACTACAATGGTCTACAACGTAGCAATCCGGAAAATAGAGTGAAATATCACAAAGGACAAGCGGTATTGCTTGAGTGTACTGTAAAATGTATCATGGATAGCAATCCTATGCTGACGGTCCTGCAAACAAAGTGGCCAAGAATTGAGATACAGTGGGACGTAGGACGAAATCCTAGTTTAAATTAGAATTTATAAACTGTAATATATATGTATACAATGGAGCTGACACATAGAGTGACCTGACCGAGCGCTTCTATAGAAATATCGTTGAGGATTACCACTTTAAGATCGTAGTCTAGTCAAATCGGCCATCTTCTGGTTTACATTGGTGAATACCGTAAGGTTATTGAGTATACTTTACCAATAAAGGAATATTAATTATTTCTTATATGGAAAATATGTAGTATTAATGCATGGTCAGTATAAAAACTTACTAACTTAATACGTACAATTTATTATCAAAGTATTGCTTCACACTGACTACGTCAACGTGATTAAAGTACTTTATTTTTATTGAATATATATCAGACATAATTTAATTATATCTTTCAAAAACATCTTAACGAAATTTCTCAGCACATTAGGATTTAACGGTGGTCGATTGCAAGTAATTTACAATAACACAAGCATTCTGTTATCTCGTGCAGTTTACTTCATAATGAAGATTTTCATTATATACGAAAAAAAAACAAGTTCTATGTGAATTTTAATAAAGTTCATTTTGTTGTATATTATATAGATGAAATGTTACTGAGTATTGTGAGACATCATATTAACACTTTCCGTATTATATTATTTCGCAGTTCTTGCCATAAAAATTATTCGAATCAAAGCAGTATTTCAGAAAGCTGTTTTAACAAAATTGTTAAATGAAATTTCAAGTCCCCTTTCCCGATGTAATAAAGATGTAATAAAATTAGAGCTACGAATTCCTAAAAAAATTGATGTGCTAAGTAAAATATGCGTGCACTTTCGGAATACTACTTAATACATAATTTAATAGATATTTGGTCAATGTTTATTTTATATGACTTTTGCAAAACTGCAGTTACAGTGTTAAATAATAAACTTACTACTTTTGAAATACACTTATCGCAATATGATTTCAATGCTTTGGATTAGTAATTAAATTCCTTAAATTCCTAAAGATTTTCAAGGATCAGCAGGAGTGACGAGCAAATTTATTTATCAGATGCATGTCTACATTCTACTGTATTTTGGCCTATTACGGTGCAGTTGGAGTACAAATAATTTTATTCATTATGTTTTAAGATCAAATTGCAAAATCTCTGTAGAAGCCTTCATAACTTCGTCAAAAAGGTCTGATAAAATATTTCTTCTACAAGACAATATGTAAAAGAAATGATGACTTTGAATATGTATTTATTGATTTATTTACATGATATATGTGAATCAGATATTACCTATAAAATTATTAAATATTATTTAATGCTATTTGCATTATGTGTTATAATGATATACCGTAATGGTTGTCACAAAAGAAAACTACTAAATTCTGAATTATATATACATTTTTAATCACTCGCATCATCAACTTGATTATCGTCTCCGCCGCTACCCGCAGAACTTTCAGAAGTGGATTCTTCATCTGAATCTTTTAGAATTTTTCCTTTAATATTCTTTTTAGGTCTGTGTGTTTCAATATCTGATCCTTCCTCATCCGAAGAATAAATATTCGATGCTGAAATAAAGCGTTTTTTAAGTTACAAACGAATAGAATAAATTAATAGTGGATAGAATATACTAATCTAATATAACACATGCAATGAAAATATAAAGATAATATATCTTGAGTTAAAAAATATTACATTTTACAGTAAGTAAAAAATATTAAAATTATTTTTTTGACAGAAAAAAAAATTAAAATTATGTTTTAATAATAATGTTATGAATATTAAAACATGTTCTAATATAATGTAATGAATATCAAGTAACCTTTAGAAGGAATCGC